ATATAGTTTTTGTTTTTGTTTTTTTGTACAGGAATTGAACTCAGGATCCTGTGCTTGCCAGACCAGCACTGTACCACTGAGCTATATCCATGGTCCTGTGAAATTTTAAAATTCACATGACTCTTGACCCAGCAATTGAAACTCAAGGAGTTTGATATCCTCCTAACAACATACTGAGTTATGTTCACAAAACCTATTGTTGAATTTTATGAAAGTATGAAAAATCTTCATAAAAGTTAGTCTAAGTGTCCTTCAATAAGAAACTTAATTTTTTAGAATCACGTTATTGAAATCTGGCTGCTTTCTAAAAAACCCATATCAGGGAAGCATAAGCAAGTGCCAGGTCCTGAGTTTGATCCCTGGTACCAAAAAAAAAAAAATCTGTATGTGTTTGATGTATACCATTCTCTGATTTGGGGAATAATAGATATAATTCCATGACTTTATAGACTGTAAAACTATCAAGAACATCAAGGTCCTAAGTACATCCATCACCTCCAAATTTCCCTCCTGCCCAATAAGAGAAATGCCAAATGAATTATGGTATATACATATTTTGGAGTATTATGCATCAGCTAAAAAGAATCAAGAAGATCTTTATATATAGAAGTAGAAACACATCACAACTCGTTCCAGAATGAAAAATATACAGAGTTCTATGTGTACTATGATTGTATTTTCTTTTTAAAATTACATGTGTTTATACATCACAAACTATATTGTGCTGTGAATTATGTAGTTGCTGTGAATTATATACACTAAATTACTAATAGGGTAACTGCAGGAATGAAAGAGGGGAGGGAAGACATATAGTAAGTATGTGGGCTAAGGATATTAACTATTTCCTTTCTGTGCAGATGGTTTCCAAATCTCAGTGATACAAGTTCTCCACTTGAAGATGATGCAAAAGTAACACATATGCTGTAGAAGTTTTACTTTGAATTTTGAGTTTGGATCTTTTCCCAGCCTAGTCATATACAGTATGATACTCTCCTTAAATCCTGGGAAGTGGCAGCAAGCTGCAGCTCCCAGTCAGCCATTCGATCACAAGGAGAAACCATCCATATGCTGCAGCCTACGGTGTTCTTAAGCTAGGATAGTGGGTAGGTTAAGTGTATGCAATACATTTTATTTTTCAAAAGCATTTTTTTTCAATGCATTTTCAACTTAGGATCTTTTCAACTTTTGTTGGGTTTACTGAGGTATAACCCCACATAGTTATGGGTGAAGGAGCATCTGTATTTCTGTTAATGTTGTTTGTATGTGTTTTTTTTTTTTACAATGAGAATATACTGTATTTTACTTGTAAAGACAACGTTGAAAAGGAAAAGTGTAGCTTTCTTAGGGTGGAAATAGAATCACACAGTAGACAAAGCACTCTGGCTATTCTGAAAGAGACC